CAAGAGCAAACTGAGGATTTCAAACTTCAGTTCATAATCTCCTATTACGGAGTAGCCACATGTGGAGACACTTATCAAGGAAGGGGAAGTGGTGGGAAGCTTCCTAAAATTCTTCTGAGTATGTTCATTCTGTTCCCAAATGTAGGCATAGATACAGGAGGCTGTCATTATTGTTCCATGAACACGGTTTCCGCCACTGAAGGATGATGCATTACAGTAATTCTGTTTGTTGTAAGAAGCAGAGCTTAAAATAGAATGGTATGTAAGAATGTATCCTTTCTAAAACATAAAGGTTTCTTTGTGTCATAATGAAGTATAAGGCTTTAAAACTTTTTATTATTCATGTCCCTCATATATTTTGTTCTTTTCATTGAAGTGGCCAACTTTATGACACCTAGTTTTGTAAAAACCTTTTTTCCCTCCTACCTTCCCTTGCTTGTTGCTAATTTCCATTTTGTCTTATTTTCTCATCAGTTTTAATTTTCATTCTGATGCCTTGATTTAGAAAAAATTTTTTTCAACATACAGTTTTTAATCTTTCTATGCTAACTCTCTGGAATGCTAAATCTAAGAGATGAGTCTTAAGAGCTGAGTGATCACCCTTGGCATACTTAATGGTAGACAAGTTGTTTGAACTTGTAACACTTGGAAAATGAAAGTGAATATATTTGTTTTGTTATTCCCATGGAAACGAGATATTTATAATGAGCTTCTAAAAACAAGTTACAAATATACACAAAGAAGCTGATTCTTTGTAGCAGTTGCTTAATAAAAAGGAATTAGTTTATTTGGGGGGTTATGGGTTGGGGTTTTTTTCTTAATTTCATGAAGTCTGAAAATCTGGTACAAGGAAGGGATTTCCTGAATGTGAACAGGACATAAAAATGGTGAAAATAAACTGGGGGTATGACAGCCTGTGTTCATAGTATTATAATTTTTCATAAATTACTTTGAGTTGGAGGGAGCCTTTTACATGTCATCTAAGTAAACACCACCACCTCACCCTTCTCCCAGTGAGCAGGAGCATATTGCATGAGACCAGGTTGCTCATAGTCCCATCCAAGCTGACCAGGGATGGGCCATCTATCATTTCTCTGGACAGCCTCTTGCAGTGTTTCACCACCCTCCTAAAAATGTCTTCCTTATGTCTAGTCTGAATCTACCCTATTTTAGTTTGCAGCCATTACCTTGTCCTATCACAACAGCTCTGCAAAAAAGCCTGCCCCCATCCTTCCTTGTAAGCCCCCTAAAAGCTGCAGTAGGGTCTCCTGGAGCCATGTCTCCACCAGATTGAAGAACCCCAACTCTCCCAAACTTGTCTTTATGGCAGGGCTCTTTCTTCTCTCTGATCAACTCTGTGGTCCTCCTCTGGACTCGCTCCAACAGGGGCCCTGGAGCTGGATGCAGTGCTCCAAGTGGCCTCTCAGCACAGCAGAGTAGAATCCTCTCCCACACCCTTCTCTCATGCTGCTTTTGGTGCAGCCTCGGATACAGGTGTTGGCTTTCTGGGCTGGGAGTGCATGTTGCTGGCTCATGTCCAATTTTCCATCCAATAGTGCTCGCAAGTCATTATCCCTAGGGTAGTTTTGTGGACCTGGATTGGAGAGAGTGTGTAAATCAAGGTTTGTTGAAAGACTTTTCCTCTATCATTTCTACCTACTCAGTCAGTGGTCTCCTGTGCATTCAACCCATGTCTGTACAGACAGAGGAGAGGGGAGCATGCTGTTCTAGTTACTAATCATGATGACAGCAACTGCTCAGAGCTCTTCAAGACCTGTCTCTAGAGAGAGGAGGTGTATAGGATTGCTGCTTGATAATTTAGATGCTGGTAAATGGCATACATGTACCATACCTCACATACCAAAAGTGCAAGAACGTGTCGTGTTCCTAGGGTTTTCCACAAGACTTGGCATATGTTGCAGCTGTAGAGTTTTGGAATTAATTATGATGCTTTACAAGTGGATTTGATAATCTTGTAATACATGGAGGAGCAAGAGGGGATATTTTTGGAGTGTAGAAAAAGATAACAAATTTCAAAATTAAAGCTGTTTTATTTAGGAAACTTGGGATATAGTTGCAGAAATTCCTTCACTCCCAATCCTATTTTAGACATGGCTCCAGTTAATGTTGCTGTCTGGTAAAGAATATCAGCTATGATGCACATTTGTTTCTCTTTCGGGGTTCAGCTGCAATAATAGTACATTGGTCATATATGTGTCCAATTTGTGATTTTACCTTAAGCTGAAGAGGAAAAATCCACTCATTTCCTTGCCCCATGTAAGTGACAGGGAAGAGATGAAATGCAATCGTAGGTAGACCTGTGGACCTGTGTCTTATACCAAATGTTCTTTGTTCATCTTGGCAGCCATATTTATGTATTTTTCCTTTTAATTCATACAAAAAAGTTATGCTCTTCTATTTAATAAGTGTGCAAGCAGAAATTCTCCATGTGTTAATAAAACCCTGAGATCAGTTCATTTGTTTAGAGCGTGGCGCTAATAGGTCATGGGTTAGATCAGTTAAGGGTTGAACTTGATCATCCTTGTGGGTCCCTTCCAGCTCAGAAGATTCTGTGAAAAATAAACAAGTCAACATGAATTTTTCCTGGTTTTGCTGAAAGTGATCATTCTCTTTCCCACTGCAATGATCCTGACTGATGATCAAAGATAAACCTATGTGCTACAGAAAACTGCCTTTGGCAAGGCCTGAATGCTAGGCTTGGCTAGCCTAGCAATGAGTCTGTAGAGAATTTAGGGTCTTAGGGTGTTGTTATGCTGGAGCATAACAACAGTGCAGTGATTGCAGCGATTGACAGTGCTTTCTTTTTCTAAATGAGAGGCAAACCAAAATGAAGTCTTGACCTCTTTGTGCTACTTAAAAGTTCTTGGATGTGTTTCATCAAAAGAGGGATGTTAATCCTATTAATGAGAATCCTGGAGAAATTCCAGGTAGTTAATTGCAGTTTATTCCACTTGTCTTTCTGATTAATGAAATGCTGGATTATATTCTTTATTTCTACTGTCATGATGTTCTTTTACCAGCTAACTCTGAGATACTCCAGCACATGCTCTACCTACAGACAAGTATTGCAAACAGCAATGTTTGGTCAAGAAATACATAAAGTTTATTTTGTGGCGGTTGCTGACATTTGATACATATATTGGGCTGCATTGAAAATAAAGAATGCTAGTAATGAACAATTATGTAAAGGGTTCCCTTAGTGCTGAATTTTTTTGTGAATAACCAATTTCTCTTTGTTTTAAAAGCCTGGTATAAAATTTCATTTTTGTTTAGTTAATTGAAGCAGGAGTCACTTTCTAAGTGTTGGTTGGTAAACCAGAAATGGCATTTCCCCTTTTCATTAGTGGAGGCATCCCCCAGCTGAGAGGAATTTGACCATTGAAGGTATTTAAAAGAAGATCAAAGATAAATCCATGACGTATAGCTGAATTGCTCTTCACAATGGTCTTTTTGACACTTGAATTAAAATTAGATCTCTGTGTACTGCTTTTCTAGCCCAAGATTTCTGTTGCTGGTGCACACTTTCTCTATCCTAGCATCTATTGTTTATTCCTATATAAACAGCTGTCCCTGTTGAAAGGACTGGTCTGGGTTATGTGGTGGTGCTTGGTTATTTTTTTCCCCTGATTTGCTTGAAATGTTCTCTAAATTGGCATAAAAATAAATGCTCAAGTAGCAAACAAAACTTGTGTAGTAGCATGTTTCCCAGCAACATGGACTCTCAAATGTTACTTTAACTTTGAGAGTTTTGTAATCTAAACATGTTCTGCTTTTTAAGATGGTACTGTTTAAGATTATATCAGCATAAGTATCAAAACATCTTTTTGAAAATGGATCTATTTGATCTGCTAAACTTTAGTTCAAAATATATGGCTACATTTTAGGGTGTAAATTCTTATTCTAAAGATCAGAGAATCTGTAGTTTACTAATAGAGGAAAAGATGTGGTTTGTCTCTTCTGTAATTCATAACAACTAAAAATAGTTGGTTTTTCTTTAATGTGAGTAAACTCACTGATGCTGTTGCTTTGTACCTGAATTTTAAAATGAGGAACGCTAAAACTAGGTTAATATTAGGGAATTGAGTGGAACTGTGCTTACTCTGTAACGTTATCTCTTGCCTAAACTGAATATTTTAAAATGCTAGAAAACAGACATGCATTAACCTTCTTTGGTTAAATATCACTATAGTGAATGCTTTGTAAGAGTTCTATCAACTGAAACCTTTGGTGTGATGGACCAAAAAAGATCTGCAGGAATGACAGTATAAACTGGTGTTTGTAAAGTGTGAATTTCCCATTATCAGAATTTGCACCACACACTTTTACAGCAAAATCTATGAGCTTACCAGGCTACTATATTGTGTTTTCTGCATACCTTTAAATGTTTTTTGAAGATGATGGTCTACAAAAGAAAACAGGTATTGAATTTAAATGTATCATTTAAAAACTTGTCAGTCTTCAATTGAAAAGGAATTTCAAGTTTTTAAATACATTTCAGTGGTTTGCTTTGCACAATAGCAGAATAATTCTTAATTTATTTATGAATACATGAATAGTGACTTATAAATAATATGATAACAAGTTATTCAAAGAGGAATAAAAAGTAGTAAATAAAAAGACTCGCCTAAGATGCTTCAGATCTTGTCTTATAAATGCAGGCATTATAAGTGATCAACCAAATGAGACTGTATTTAATTTGTGAGCTGCAGGCATTTTGACGGTAGACCCAGTCACTTTATTTCATCTTTATTTCTGAACATTCATCAAGGGAAGTCTGTGAAGTGCTATCCTGCTGATGTATATATAAAGTGATATTCCTGGAATATGTTTTATTTGACACCAAAAATGGGGTGCATGGGCTTTCCTGTTCTGTTACAGTTTTCTGTTGTTCACTGTGGTAAACTGAAACCATTCTGCTATTCTCGAAATGCTTTTTGTGCTCTCTTGTAATTTCTTTCAATTGCTGTGTGTTTCAACAGGGGAAAGTCTGTAAGAACTATTACTTTTGAGCAGTTTAAGGAAGCTCTTCAAGAACTCTCCAAGAAGCGATTTAAAGGCAAAAGTGATGAGGAAGCACTTCAAGAAATGTATAAACTAATTGAAGGAAAAGGCCCAGGTTTAACTGGAGTAACGGTATGTTACTGCTCTCATGGACAGATTGTTTCTACCTGTCCTTTGTTCTATTGCAGTGTTGTTATGTTTACCACTTCCCTCCACAATCCACAAATCCAATTTCTCTGTGAGCCTGAAGGCAGCAATTGCAAAGCAGAATTGGAGCAAACAGTGTGCAACAACTGAGTATTGTGCTACTGTGTGTTCCTATGTGGTACTGTCATTGCTCCTTCTAGGAATTGTACTATTACATAGTAGCACGTCAAGAATATCCTGAGCTTGTGTATGCTTAGAACAATGAAATGTTGTTGAAGAGTGGTATATCCAAATCAAAAGGAGTATAATGACATTAGAGCCTCAATAAAAAGTTTTAAGATGTTTTGTGAAATACCAAAAAACGAAGGCATCTTAAAATACATTTAATTACACCATGTGAATCCCAGAACACTGAAAATCTGGGAATAATTATCATGTGGTCTGGTCTTTGTTTCTTGTTTGTTCCAAGTCTGTCAGAGCTATAATGTTCTGTCTTTTTAATTTTAAAATACTGGTGTTGAGCTTTGTATGTGAAAAGGGAGCTATAAAGCATACTGTACATTAGCTTGGTTGTCCTTTTAGATGCCCAGGCTAGGCAAACTTTTATCCAGTATTTTAGGAGATACTGGAGAGTGTACCATCAGGTTGAATAGTTCTGTCAGTTTAGTTCATCTGCTTAAAATTTGTGATCCTCCTGAATTTTGCCTGAATTTGCCTAAAGCTGTGAATGAAAATGTAATCTTTTCAGAAACTGGTTCTCTATAACTGATTTGTGTAAACATCAAGTGGAAATAATTCTTTTGAGTTCTAAAATAAGTTAGCTTTTTGCAAGTTTTTATTTTATTGCTCTTCTACTCTCATTTAAAACAAGTGGTAATTTCGATACAGACTTAAAACTTGAACCTTCCTTTTTGTTCTTCACTTGCCTTGATAGATTTGAATAACTTCTTCATCTGTTCAGGGATTCTTCTCTCAAATTGTGTACATCCTTCTACACCTCACTCCTGATTCCATTTTGAGTATTTTAGGAGGCAGACATTGAAATGAGCAGTGTCTGCTACCAAAGGAATAGTCTCTTTCTTTGTGGGGTGCATGGATGAGAGAGCTTTGCAGATGCAAAGTAGTATCATATAGGCTCAGCAGAGGTATATAAGTGAGCAGGAGGGGAAGAAAGAGTGGAGGGGAATATGAGCCAGAGATGCAAGGCTTGACTGTTCAATATGTGCCCTTCTGGGGAGAGTTGAGAAGTTAAGAAAAAGGGATCACAATATCTTGTTCTGCTAGCTGGAAAAGTAAGGGGTAGGAGGCAGAGCTTAAAAAGGGGGGAGATTGCAGACTGGGAGTGTGTGCATGTGTGTATGTAAAACCAAATTTCATGTTCCTTTTCTCATGCTAATTTAGTTCCTGGATGGTAAAAAAGACCCACAAACTTGGCAATTAAAGACATTAAAATAAATAAATGAATACAAGGCCACTCTCCTCCTGCAGCCCAGGAGCATAGATATGAATTCTCTATACAAGCTTTTAATGCTTAGTTTACTTTGGGAAGTCAATATTGTGGAAATTTCAAATTGTGCTGCTTTCTGTACGGTTAGATAAAGTTGCATTAAGCTTTTCTTAAAAGTTCTAAGGTAAGTCAGTCATGCCTTGTAGTGTGTGCCCTGCTCTGTAAAACTCTGCTATAGGTCATGTAGATTTGGTTCAGGTCTCAGACAGAAAACTTTTTGTGACTACTGACACATTACTCTAAACATATTAGGGAAGGAGTTGAAAGTATGATTAAGTAAAGCTTGTGGATAAGAATACTTCAGCAGCACGTGGGGAACTTTGTGTCTTGGCTCCTTCTCATGTTCTGCACTGGGTGTTCTGGGGAGGTAGGTGGCAGGGGCAGTATGTGTGGACTAAATGGCAGCCTGTGGAAAGCACTCCTTCAGCAGGACAGTTGGAAAGTTTACCTTCACATCAGACAATGAGGATTTTAGTGCATGTTGGGATAGAAGTGATAGAAGATCTTTTATCTTCTTCTGTTTATTTTTTTCTTCTCCTTCAGAATGTCATAGAATTACAAAAATCCCTGCTTGTTGTTGATGTGGTTGAGAAGGCTCAACAGCCAGACATTGAAACCAAGTGAATTTTAGGCTACTTTCTAATCTAAGAACACAACATATATTATTGATTTTGTCACAGAGGAAGAAAAACACAGGAAAGTGATACAGGTTAATGAAGTCAGTGGCTTTATTAGCTCACTTGGTGGTAATCTCTCAATAGAATATACGGTGCAGGTCATGTAACTGTTTACATGCGGCTTGTAAACAGACATGTAAATGAAGTCTAGGGCCTTTTAATTGTCCTCATTCCTACACAAAGGTTACAAAGAGCAAAACTGAGATTCTTTCTTTTCCTGTACCAAGAGCTGTATGCCATAACCATTCTGAATGCATTTTTGCACCTCCTGGGAAACAGATCCTTACTTTGGTTATTGTTTGCTGTTAAAATAAAACCAGTTGAACTGCAGTGTATATTGATCAGGGTCCTTGACATAGAAATGCAGAACAATTTCAAGTGCAAGGAATCTGGGATGATCTCATTCAAACCTTTTGTTCACAAGAGGGTAACTTAAAGCCAGATCAGGTTGTTCAGGGTGCAGTCCAGTGAGATTCATGGTGAGAGGAGTGTGGGTGGCAGGGCAGTACAGCAGCAAAAGCACTTTAAAAGCTGGATGATGGGTGCTCAGGGGGATGTTGATGGGGGCAAGATCATATTATCACCAAAACATTAGGTGATAATGGGCAAGAGCAAGGAAACCAGAGTGCATCCCACAGAGTGTGGTAAATGAGACAAAACAGTTGTTGCAGCAGAAGTGCAAAGAGGCCTAGGAGTTCCACTTAAGACTATGTGGATCTGCTTGAAGACTGTACAGTGGTAGTCTGAAAAAGCTGCAGGAGATACTGTCCAGCACATGGACTTCCATTAAGATGTAGAAGTCTGCAGAACTGAGAGTCCTTGGCTCTCTTAGGAAGAAGTCCTATATCCACCTTGAATGCTTCAGAGAGCTTCTGTGTCTTCCTGGAGGTCAGGGCAGTGGTGGCCACTCTTGTGGGAGATGTGCTGTAGTCAAGGTCCTGAGATTCCATGGTGGGAGAAGATGAAGGGGAGACTGACGTGGTATTTGTGGAAAACCCAAGCTACACAAGGTGTGGAAGCAGTGACAGCTGAAGACCAAGTGGACAGAGACCATTGAAATAGAAAAGGCTGAAAGGTTGTGGCTTCTGGCAACAAAAGATCACAGATCTGCTCAACCTGCAGTTGTTCAATTTCAGAATACATATAGTATCCTAAGCACTGGTGAGGATCAACAAGGCCCATCAGAGTCAGCTGAACCTGAATTTAGTGTTCACACAAAAAGGGGAGAATGAATGATAATGTTGAGCAGCACTATCTCACACTGTGGGGACAGACAGGTTCTTTTAAGAATCCTTGCTTGAACGAATCCTTGGCTGGCCACAGATTTGTAGTTATATTAGGCCTTAGCATGAGCTGTGTGTTAGTGAAAATCTGGAAAGGAGTTGAGTGAACAGTCACAGAAGATTTTGCCATCCCAAATATCTCATGTGCTATTACACTTCCCTGTTCCATAACGGGTGACACTATACTCTGGCAATAGTGCTGTACCATGAGTCAGGAGTAATGGGTACTAGTCACAGAAAATTACTGGAGATTCTTCTTGTGGATGATCAAGGCATGTATCTTCTGATCTCACCTGATGTCTCAGGAGTTTTATTGCTTGGTAGGTGCCACGATCTGGGATTGTTGCAGATGCACAGCCAAGATTTGTCCAACCTCCTCACATGGACCTCTTCTTCCTCTTTCTCTTCCTTGTGGGTACCCAGAGTACTGCTCTGGAGGTAACCTGCTGCATATAAAGAGGAACTACAGAGGTTTAGGGATGAGGGTGATAGGTAAGGAGCTGAGATCTTGCCTTGCCAGTTCTGGGAGGAGGAAAGATTGGGTAGAAGTGGACTGTATGGCTTCTCTTGAAGATGGGGCTTTGGCTTCTAGGACTAGAGAAATGAGGGCTACTCAGCAGGGATGGAATAAATCTAACAAAGTAGAACAAGAGTATCTTTACAAACTAAGCCAACTGATCTGCTGAGGAGACTGTTAGACTGGGTATGGAAGGTTGCCATGACCTGAAGATGAAAGATCACAAGGGGCAGAGCAGATATGTTTGGGAGACAAGCCTGACAAGGGAGGTTTTTATCCTTCTATAAATGCAGCAGGACATGGGGTGTGTCTCTAACGCCTGCTCACAAAAGCATATAGTATGGGGAAAGCAGGGCAAATTACTTGCAGAGATGTGATTCACTGGGATTGTGCAGATGTGTTAACTCTTCTAAGTGGAGTGCTGCACAGGATGAATAGAGGCTCTTCAGGAAATACATTTAAAAAATGAGGAAGAGGGATGGTAGTGTATGTAAAGGCTTATGTTGACAGCATCTAGCTTTGGACCAAGTCTCATTAAAGACTGGTTGTAACATTAAATTGAAGAAGGATTCAACAACACCCTCACTGGAAAAAAAAAAGGCTTTATAATATATTTTTTGTCTTCACCACCAACAAGAATGAAAAACTCCTCAGAGAAGTGTTGGCACACTGTTTTTGAGGGAGATCATATAAATCAGGCTGGTAGATCCCTGAGCTGACATCATGCAGTGACTTGGACTGTTGAAGTGCTGGAGAACTGGAGTTAAGGGGCTAATCTTAGAGAGGAGGAAAGGAAGGGGTCTCTTATAGCTGCCAAATAACACCTGCCAGCTGGACTTTACATGGTCTTCTCTTGATGGAGCTAGACCTGGGTCAGGCACATTTATGTGAATGCTTATGCTATAAGGGGTGTCACATATAAGGAACCTTTTTGATGTCTTTTCTCTATCTCTGGCTGGACTCTTAGTAAGTGAGAAGGTTTAGGTATGTATATAGAATTA